TGTTCCATTTCGTGATCAGCTTTAAAAGCAAATCTGATCTGAAAAAGAAGCAAATCCATTTGCTTATTTTGTGGGAAGAATAAAGTATTTTATTTTTAATTTTTTACGAAGACTGTAAATACCATCTCAATTTGGATCACTGACAACCAATGTTATGAAAACATGAATGTCGAATTCCTAATCGTAGTTATCATAACGCTATTCATTGAGCATAAACTGCTCTCCCTCAAGCTGTCAACAGAACCATTACGAATTCATCAACGAGTTGCTATTCATCATTTTCGAAGCGCTTTAGTGTACATATTGGTGCAGAGAGGAGCCAGTATGCGGGCTTCACCTGCGGGCTGCTGAAGAAGATGGCTGGAATATACAACACAGCCGGCCTCTCTTCCTGCCGGATGTGACGCAAAGCCCCACTGAGCCGTGCCAGATATGGCAACAGACAAGCCGTGCCAGATATGGCAACAAGGTCTAGCAAAGCATTAACAACACACCACTATGACCAACATGACAACAAACACACCACTATGACCAACATGACAACAAACACACCACTATGACCAACATGACAACAAACACCACTATGACCAACATGACAACAAACACACCACTATGACCAACAAAACAAACACAATATGGCCTACAATACTACACCGAATACAACCAATAAAACACAGCTTGTCAGTTACACCTGTGAGTCATTCTCTACAACACCCACAACACTCTCGTCTCTCACCAGCCAGTGTTGTCGTTTGTGATGACAAATTCCCCCTCCTCCCAGTGACGAATTTGGTCGTTCTTAGAGACAGATACCGCCCGTTTTTCTTAGTCGATGGCATGAGTGTTGTCTGTGGCAAAACTGACCGGCCATGTGGCTTGTAGTGTGTTGGGGTGATGGTTGGGGTGAGGGTGGGAAGGGGGTGAGGAGGGTTGTTAATTGAGGGGTTGAGGGAGGTGTGGTCGTTAGAGGTAGGGAGGTGTTATGAGGTGTGGTCAGACAAGAGACGGGGTGTTGTGGCGGTATTATTTTGGAGGGTTTTGGAGCCGGAGCAACGAGCAGGAAACTCGACATCAGCGAGGCACTACATATCAAAAAGTCCAGCAACAGCAACCAGGCTGGAGCAACCAGCCTGTTGATGTTGTGGGAGGGAAATGGTGTGTTGTGGTGGAGCTGTGGAAGCGGAATTTTGTTGGGTGGGTCAGCCAAAGGGAACTATATAGGCATCATAGGAGAAAACACCCATTAGTAAAAGATTGTAGAACTTACTATGTCTATTGAAAGGATTTTAAAACGATTAACATAGACTCTATGACAATAAGGTTAATTAAATAATTTTTTTAGCTATGGCTCGTTCAAAATAGATTATTACCCAATCCTCCCTCTCTAGCCAGAGTCCAATGGTACTCGCAATATTATTTCAAGGATTATCCGCAAGTGAATCAGGCCAGTGGAATCTAATGATTATTATAGCTGTTCCCAGGATTATTGCAGTTAGCTGACCTACGTTTAAGGCTTTATAATTGTGTGTCCCATGATAGCGAATGCAACCATTACCGGGGAAGTTGAAACTTATTTACAGTACTTTCATGCTTAAAAGATTATTTTATCGGGAGTTGAATTGTATTATTTGTGAAGAGGGGAAATGGCCGTCTCGTGTTCCTCGTATACTTCCTTG